GACCCGAGTTCACGGTACCTCCGGAGGGCTCTGCAGCGTGTGAATAAAACTGCTCAGAAGATCATTGGTACCCATCTCCCGAGCATCAGTGATATGAATGAGGTGAGGTGCCTATGCAGAGCCCAAAGGATACTGAAGGTTCACCCTGCTGCCTTCTGGGAAGAGATATAGAAGTTTCAGCTGCCGCACCACCAGACTGCAGAGCAGCTTTTTCCCCCAAGCTCGATTTCACTATATAACCTGTTATATTATGACAAATAAATATACCTATACCTTCCTAAACCTGGTTAGGGCAACCGCTCATGACCTTCCTTACAGTTTGCTTTCTTGTTTCTTCTTCTTTTTGCAGGAATTTCCTGATATTTTTATGTTGATTCACCATAGCAACCAATTTTCCCATTGCATTTTACGTGCATAGTTCTCACCCATTGAGTTACTTTCCTCTGACTCACTCTTTGGCAGAGTTTAATGGATTCACTCCTCACTATTTTCAGTTTCCCTTTCCCTTTAGGAATCACATTGTGAGTCACATCTGACCTTAAACTTCAAAATTCTTGATGGATTTCTCAGGATTAAGCAGCTGGCCTCTGTCTGGATCCTGGAGAAGAGAAACAAACGTGAGTCAAACATTTCAGCTTTACTTCCATTAACATGAAGCGACGTCACATTTGATTGTTTTGTGTTTTGGATGTAATGTGTGTGAAGAGATGAGTCAAACGTTAATTTTGCTGCTTGCTTAGAGGACAACAGCTCATTTTGCCCGGACCTAAACCTTTTTCCATCCATCATCAACCGCTTATCCTGCGTACAGGGTCGCGGGGGGCTGGAGCCAATCCCAGCTGACATCTGGCAAAAGGCGGAGTACACCCTGGACAGGTCGCCAGTCCATCGCAGCCTAAACCTTCTTGTTAGGTGTAAATATTGTGCCTCTCTACCTAGAGGTGGAAGGTAACTAAGTACATTTGTACATATTGTACTTTTACTTAAAAAACATCTGAGAGCTTTAGTTACTAGTCACTTTGTGCGACGAGTCAGGGAGTGAGAACGGGTTACTTTCTCACGTGTGAAGATTTGCAGCTTTTCCTTCTAATGATTGTAATAATTGTAATGTTTGTTAATAATGTTGAGGTTTGGACTGTTGGTAACTGCGACAGCATTTTTCACAAAGCGACACCAAGCGTCCGTTTGTGACAAGTAGGGAGTGAGAACGTGTTGGCCTCACTTGTTCTTTGTGTTTAATGCTAATTATCAAATGTTGGCATGCTAACGAGCTAATTTAGGGGGTCCATTTAGAGGTCAGAACTGGGAATGACCTCACACCAGAGTTGACGGCGTTCCAGTTACAAGTTGGAAAACCTCACTCGACCAGCCGTTGTTTACATCTAGCCATGTTAGCCGGTTGTTAAAAAAACGCATTGTGCGGTATTTACTCATACTCAACACGTTATGTACGAAAACTTCTATGAGACACAAGTACACAGAAGTGCTAGTAAACAGTATAAACTACAGCTTTCATTAACTGTTGATGCCATAGACTGTCTATAAGTAGTGGACGTAGACATCGTGACGTCACCCGTTGGTTTGTGGGCTGCCGTTTTGAAGCCTCCAGTTTGGTCGATAGGGCGCTGCCATGTTGATTTTTTTGCAACCAGCGGCACCGGATGCGACCATATTTGGACGAGACGGCGGAGCTAACGGCAGTGTGTGGAGCTAGCTAGCTTGCTTAGCTAGGTGCAACTTTAACTCAACGTTTACTGTCATTTTAACAGGACTGACAATTTTGTCTTGCGAACAACAGTCTTAAAGCTAAATGTACTCACCAGAGAAAGTGAACAGTCGACTCCTAATAAGCTTTTTCAACGGCGCCGGTTTAATTCACACAGTGCCGTGGGTACGAGTCACTCTAGCCTGATTGACAGGTTACTGACGTAATTCTTTCAGCTGAGAAGTAGAAACATTTTACATTTATTGCTAATGGAACAGGACTTCTTTTTGCAACCAGAAGAGTCGCCCCCTGCTGGCCGTTCAATAGAAGTCAGGTTTAAGGGACTTCCGTGTTCGCATTAGTTTGCTGACCGGAAGTTTCCCACTTTGTTGATATTCAGAGCAGCCATCACATTTGTGAAGCATTGTGAACCAAATGAATGATTAGATTTCTGTCAATCAACAAATGGTACTTGTATAAACTATTGGATAGTTTTATTTATGACAAAACATTATATTCTTTTTAAACTAATGTGTTTTGTTTGTAAAAATCTTACTTTTTAAAGTAACTGAAGCTGTCAGATAAATGTAGTGAAGTAAAAAGTACCATATTTCCCTCTGAGTTGTGGTGGAGTAGAAAGAAAAAGTGAGAGAAAGAAAATACCTCTAATATCTTCTCAATAAATGCAGTACCTGAGTGAATGTACTTACTGTCCACCTCTGGCTATGGGAATACCCTTCCCTTCAAATTCCAAGTTAAAACTATTTCCGTGTTACAGTTTCAGTGTTATTACAGCAACATCATAACATTATTTTATCAGAACTTCCTGAATTTTTATCTACTCTGGTTTTAAATTATGACAGAATTGTTCTTTGTGGCGATTTTAATATTCATGTTGATGACCCCAACAATGTTAATGCAACTAACTTTTTAAATATGGCCACTTCTTTTAACTTCAAACAACATGTCAAAGGGCAAACACATAACCGTGGTCATACACTGGACTTGGTTTTTACCCTGGGAATCAGCATTTCCTCTGTGGAATTAGTGGACATGACCACATCTGACCACAGATGTATTGTTTTTAGCTGCGATTCGCCTGTTACTCATGCCGCCTCACCAAGCTCCGTGTGTTCTCGCATCTTTAATGAACAAAGTGTTTCAAAGTTTTGCACATTCTTTCAGAGCCAAAGCCAACACCTGTCTGATTCCAACACCAACAATCTGGTCGATCACTTCAATCATATCTGCTTGTCGTCACTAAATATTATTGCTCCTCTAAAGGTTAGACCTACATCTAAAGCTAGTAAGCAACCCTGAATAAATGACAGCATTCGCAGCCTAAGAAGGGAATGCAGGAAAGCAGAGCGCAGATGGAAAAAATCCAGTCTCCAAGTCCATTACCTCAGTCTGAAGGATTTATTAATTAACTACAATAACATGGTTAAGGTTGCTACAAACACACTATTTTTCTGAACTCATTACTACACATAAACACAATCCCAGGTTTCTGTTTAAGACTGTGGATCAGCTGGTAAACCCAACCCCTCCTTGTGCCTCAGCTGGACGTAATGATGACTGTGAATTGTTTTTATATTATTTTATCAATAAGGAGGTGTCAGAGCCTCTATTACCCCCGTGGCCTCTTACTCAGAGGTTCCTCACCAGCAACAAGAGAGTTTTAACCAGTTTTATCCCATCGACTTGTCTGAGCTTTTAAAAACAGTATCACAAATGAGAGTGTCCTCCAGCCCACTTGACGTAATACCTACAAAGTTTTTTACTGAAAGTAATAGATTCTGTTGGGCCCCATTTGATCTCTGTTTTCAACAGCTCTCTATCTACTGGTTGTGTCCCTGATTATTTTAAAACGGCTTGCGTGAACCGACTTTTAAAGAAACCTGGTTTAGATACCCACATAATTTTAGACCAATTTCAAAACTGCCTTTTATTGCAAAGATTCTAGAAAGAATTGTGTCCAAACAGCTGCTCACTGTACTGAAAAATAACAAATTATTTGAAAAGTTTCAGTCTGGTTTCAGGAAGTACCACAGCACTGAGACTGCCCTGCTTAAAGTCACCAATGACCTTTTAATGTCTGCTGATGAAGGTATGTGCTCAGTCCTGGTACTCCTGGACCTTAGCGCTGCTTTTGACACCACTGATCACAACATCATGTTAGACAGACTGAGGCACTGGGTGGGGATCTCTGGTACTGCCTTAAAATGGTTTTCATCCTACCTGTCAAATAGGAAGTTTTGCGTGTCTGTAAACAACTATGTCTCCTCGTTCTGTCCAGTTAAATATGGTGTGCCTCAGGGGTCGGTCTTAGCACCCATTTTGTTTTCCTTGTATCTGCTTCCCCTTTGACATATTATCCATAAACATGGTATTTCTTTTCATATTTATGCTGATGACACACAAATATACTTGCCCGTCAGATCCACAGACCCTGGAATGCTGAGTTCACTTAACAACTGCCTTTGTGAAGTTAAAAAATGGATGTCAAATAATTTCCTCCAGCTGAACTCAGACAAAACAGAAATCCTGGTCATCGGGTCCCAGCAGATGGCAAATCAAATACTGCCATCTACTGGTTCCCTAGTAAATCACATTAAGCCTGTGGCAAAGAACCTTGGTGTTTGGTTTGATAGTAATTTAAATTTCGAGCAGCACACCACAAAGCTTGTTCAATCATGTTTTTATCAACTTAGAAATATAGCAAAAATTCGATCTATGTTAACTTTTAAGGACACCGAGACCATTTTACACGCCTTCATCTCATCACGCCTGGATTATTGCAACAGCCTTTTCACCTGTTTAACCCAAAAATCTACTTATCGACTCCAGACTGTCCAGAACTCAGCTGCCAGGCTTTTAACCAGAACAAAGAAATATGACCACATTACTCCTATTTTAGCTTCACTACACTGGCTCCCAGTATGTTTTAGAATTGACTTTAAAATTCTATTGATCACTTTTAAAGGTCTTCATGGCCTCTCGCCTTGTTATATTTCTGACCTTTTAGTCCTATACGCACCAGCACGTACCTTGAGATCCTCGGGCAGAGGTCTGTTGTCTGTTCCAGAGTCTCGACTGAAAACTAAAGGGGACAGAGCGTTTGCTGTCAGGGCCCCGAGGCTCTGGAACAGCCTGCCGAGGAAATCAGGTCGGCTGAGTCAGTGAACTCTTTTAAGTCCCTTCTTAAAACATACTTTTATAGGAGAGCCTTTCCCGATCTTATTTGACTTTATTTTATCCCTTTTATTTTATTGTATTTTACTAATTTTATATTTTTCATGCTCTTATCTTGTTTTGTTTTGTTTTTGTATTATTCTTTACACTTGTTAAAGCACTTTGTAACTTGTTTTTGAAAAATGCTCTACAAATAAGGATTATTATTATTATTATTTATGTCATGATAGTGTGAAACAGCTAGAGACAACTTTATGTGGTATAAGCATTGAATCTGATGATAAGTCTTGAACTTGAATAACTTGAAACTGTCAGACATATTAGGATGTTGACTCAACTAGTGAGTAAATGCCAGCCAGATTTGACAGTGAGTTCATTCTGTGTGTCTAAATACGGGTGACAAACATTTATACTGACTGGAAGAAGACTGCTGTGACGTTGCATCATCCCACTGACATGATTATTGTAAGAAGCACCTTTATGGTTGGCTGCTATGTGAGAGCCAATCAAGATCCGTGTCACTGTAATGTGTTGGGTAGAGATTTGTCTTCAGGTGCAGAGTCACATAATTCACTGAGACTGTATACTATTGTTGTCCAGCTCACTTTGAAAGTTTCACTTAGATTAATTCACTAAAAGATAAATAAACCTTGTCCTCTGACTGTCCAACAAGCTCAATAATAAAGAGGTTATGTTTTTAGGGTTTTTCCCTGTATTGTGTTTATATATCTTTTTTGTGCATGTAATAGGTTTGCAAAGTGAAAAAAGCCCAAAGTTCCCAATTTTAGTTTGATGATCCCTCCATAGTATGATCATCATGTCAGGATTTGTAGCTAAAACCCAGAAGCAGATGGAAACAGGCGGTTCAGTTTAAATATTGACACACAGTGTACAGAGTGGCAGGCCAGAGAGGGGGTTGTTTACGCAACGCATGGCTGACTGGCAGGTTGAGCAGAGTGTCCGGTAACAGGCAGACCTGAAGACTGAGGCAAAGGTTAGCAAACCCTCAGGCACCCAGATTCTCAGACAGGTACAGAGATACCTGTACAGAGAAAAAATAACAAAATATCACTCACTCTCATAACTAAAGCCTGTACAATGAAGCGAAGTTACAGGCTTATTCAGACCAGTATAAAAAAAAAAACCAACCTTGATGATCGTTAGGGGAAGATGCAACCTCAACAGATGCTGGCACCTTGGAGAGCAAGTTCACGAGGAATTTCCCCATCTTGTCTGGATTTTCGACAAAAGTCTGATGTCAGACACAAAGGATCCAGAAGTTACCGCAGCCTGTTTGACTTCTGTTTGAACCAGTAGATTGTTTACACTCCAGGTTTGTATCAGTGCGCGACCTAGATGAAAAATGTGTGCACATGCTTACGACAAACTGCATTCTGTCGTGGAAATAAATTGAGCCAGGTGTCAGGTGTTCTCGGAGACTCACGAAGACTTGACAGCATTGTTTAATGAGACTTGGCGGAGGACATTAAAGTGACAGCATTGCATGAACACATGCAATGCCAAAACTAAAATCTTCCCAAACCTCCTTCGTTCCAAAATATTTATTTCTCTGCCTTTCCCTTAGTGTCTATGTTCTTTCCCTACAAGGTTATTTTTAATTGGCCTAAAATCTGACCAGATCAATCTGCTGATGTTTACACTCCAATGCATTACCTACATCACATTTAAATCTAATGGTCCGATGTATTTGCACAATATTGGGTTCATGAGAACAGGGTGAGAAGACATTTTAACACTATTTTATTTATCACATTTATTCAATGATGAAATATGAGTATGTATGTATATATGGGTGTGGGTCTCCTCCCCCAGAAGATTTTGAGCATTAAACACTAAATTTCCTGCATTAATTTATGGTGGAAATGTCTTTATTGATAGAAAAGGAAACTTTAATTTAAAATATAAAAATTAATTTGTTATTTAACATTTCTTGTTGCAAGCCATTGTTCAGAAAATATTTAAGAAATGCTTTCAAATAGTTGTGGGGAAATGTCCCCAGCAGTGTAAATGACACCTATGCCAACGACAACCGACACCACATCTGAGACGCGACAGAAACACGAGGGTATCAGACTATTTTTGCCTTCACTTGTAGAGTTTAAGAAATTCCTTGATGTCTTGGTGACGTTAGGAAGACAATAGGAGTGTAGATATGAAGGTATTTTTGTGTCTTTTTAATGCAAGCAAAAAAAACTGTTTAGACAGTATATTTGTCACACTGTAATCAAGCACCCTTTTGGAGGCGGGCATAAATATTTTTTGCAGTTATTTTAAAACGTATTAGTGTTTTGTTGTGTACAGTGAATCTGATTATGCTGAAGGCACCTGCCTCTTCAGTTTGTAAGCAAGGCAGCTCTGCACTGAACAAGACCAGGTCAAGCAAGCCTGAGTCAGTCAGAGGGCTAAAATACTTAAATATACTTAAATATATAATGTAAACAATACATTCCCATAAAATACAGCAGTGTCTATGTGTGAGCATACAAATCAAATCTCTCATCTTAATCTCTGGGCAGGACTCTCCCTGGCTCAGCTTCCCTTGTGCTGGACACTCTGCTTTTCCTGATTGTACAGCCACACATGCACGAGAAGAACATCAGTAATAAATATGACTTAAGAATAATCCATTCTCTTATTCCAAAAACACACTGGCCCTGTACTGGCCCTGTATCTGTCACTGTTTTGTCTGGCTCCATTTACCTTCTCCTCCTCCTTGTCCTCCTGTCCCTTCTCTCACTCCTCTGTTGCACCTATCGCACAACCCAGTGCTGACCTCAGCCTCAACAAAACCTTTGGAGATTAAACTCACTCCAAATGGAAAGTAAACTTCTTTGATGGGCCCTGTTGAGCAAATCAGACAAAGATCAGTCTAAATTGGGAGGGGCCGCTCGTGCACCCCCCTCCATATTGAAAGTATTGGTTTGGCCCAGTCAGACACACAGACAACTAGAAAGTTTTGTAAACAGTCAAACAAGTCAAAGCAAGTTTTTATTGTCTTATTTACTTTCTATTGCTCCATGATTTAAAAGCCTCTATGTGTAGGATTTAAAAAATGTCTGATGACTTTGGAGCCTCCCTGTGGTACCACTGTAAAAGAGACACTGTGTTACGTTCACTGACACACAAGAGGCAGGAACCCACAAGCACAACTTTAAATCAGTTAAATATCCAAGTCCAAAAATCAAGATTAACCGACAAGGATTAGACAGAGAATCAGGAATCAAGTAATGAATGCTGATAAGCTTAGCGTAGTGCAAAAAACTGGGTAAAGGAAGGGGCGGGTATATAGGGGGCTGGACTAACAGAAGAAATGAGAAGCAGGTGGGTGATTGGTTTAGGAGGCCAGGTGAGGGAAAGCTGTTACTGGAAAGCAGGCGGAGTGGCAGAACATGTCATATTCTTAGCAAATGAAATGCAAGTACAATAATCAAAACAATGTTGCTGTGAAATATAATGTGCAATTGTTCACACTCATAACTGCATTACAAGATGATAATGTAACTGCGGAAAACCCCTCCGATGCCCAGCATTTTCTTACCTGGCTTCCTTGACACGTTACGGTAAAAAACAGGCCTGAAATCTAGACAGGAAATCACCTGTGATCTTGGCCACAGATCCAGAGGGACTCAGACAGGACCCCGGTTAATGATTTCTAAATAAGTATGCAATTGAAAATACTATTAATAGAAGCCAACTCCACTTTAAAAATAAATAAAGCTTTATAAATAGATTTTGGAACTGAGACAACGCATTATCCCATTTCCACACACCAAGCACTTAAGCACACCTTTTCCAATCACTTCCCTTGACTCAGTTTTCAAATCCCTCCGACCCAAACCTCCTCTTTCCCCTTTCCTTTCTCTCTCTCTCATACAGGAACCAGCAGCTCCGTACATCTCCCCACACAAAGTCTTAAATCTCACCTGTTTTTGCCCATCTTCCCGCCAGCAGATACCGACCTCCTCCTCCTCCATCAGCTACGGATCCGATTCCTCCCCTAGCCTCTTCATCCCTCGACCCTTTGTCCCATCCCTGCATCCTCAGTCCTCCCTCCGGACATCCAATCCATTCCTCTCGTATCATCTCAGCTCCATTACATGCTATAAACTATTCTTAATCTACATCTGCACTGGCGTGGTCTTTGTTTGTTGTCTTGATGGTTTTGTTTGTGTTGTCCTAAGCGTTTGTTAGCCTTTCCTGCTTCCAGGCGTAGCAGGGATAGACTAGCACGGGGTAGATTGTGTTTGTTTGTTTGTTTGTTCTGTTTGTCTGTCTGTCTGTTGTCCTCCAGAGGCCAGAGCCAAAGTTGACAGATGTTGCTGGAGGCATTATGGTGCTTTCAGCCCCAAAAGCGAAGCAAGAGTTTGGTAGCGGCGGTTTGCATAGCGAGAAAAATACTAAAAACTTTTAAAAATGCATATTTGTATTGTATGAATTTGGCTTGTTTGTCAATTTGCTGTTAGCTGCCACTGCCGCGCTGGTTTATGGATAATAGGCAGCATCAAGTCACCATCGATGCTGCCTTCAGAACCGGCTGTTACGGGGACAGTTTGAAGGCATCTTAGGAGACAGGAAGAGATTGTTCGAGCTGTTTCAACCGGCACTCGTTGCCTCTCTGTCCTGTTAAGACACCTTCTGAGACAGCAGTTTAGTCCGTTTCAAACCGAGCCTCTGTGTGTCACATCAATGATGCACAGTGCTCAAACGCAGTCAAGATGGACTCTTGTTTCCCAAATGTCAGACTGTTCATTGTGAAGATGAAACCTTCATATTATCATCTGGTTGCTGCTGTTGACATTCACACCAGATGCAAATTCTAAAAATTGAACTGTGACATGTTTGTGGTGTATAACACGTAATTATAGGCTATGTATTGTTTCTAATAATAAACAACCTTGTACCTTCCTTGGAAGTTGAAGCATGGACATAAACAACTAATTAAACACTGCAGATAAGTCATGAATTCAAATTCTAAATACAGTATTTTGTGGTAAACAAAAAAGGACTGTAGTGCAACCAGCGGAGGGGGTTGCGCTTTAGTCCTACTATAGTAAATCCTCTGAATGAAATGGAAAGTAGTATAAATGTGGTTAAGTTGTTTTAACTTGAAACTACTCCGTTAGACCAGTTAAGGGAAGTTTTCTTGAAGTAAAATAATTGTTTGTTTTAACTCAAAGTATGAAGTTTAAACGGTTAAAAAAAGTTCAGTCTACTATATTATAGTTATAGAGTTAAAATAAATGCAATCTTCAAGTTGAGTTAACTTGCATCTTTAAGGAAAGCAGGTGAACTTGCATTACTTGAAATGTCTTACAGTGCAGGTACAGTATCATTGTCTATATATATTAAAAATACACACATCAAGGAAGGAAGGAAGTTAAAATGTTAAATCTGCACACGAGAGGGATTCCTCTGAGTTTCTAAATACAGGCTGTCCAACATTTATATGTATCCACTTCAGAAGGGGGAGGAGATAATGACGTTGTCATTTCATCACTGCGCTGTGTGACCTACTCTGGCTGCGGGTCAAGGTTCACAGGGTGTTTCTTTTCTGTTGGATCCCAGGAAAGAAGAGGAATTAAAAACTCTGAAAGCGCTGTTAAATGTCATGTTGCAATAAAAAGAGGGGAAGTGGGGGAGAAACAGGAGGGTTTCACATTCCTAGGGAAGTTGTAATCACAAAATTTGAATACACTAGATACTTAACAGCAGTATCATGTGATAAAAACAGAAACCAGAAATGTGCTTACATCAACAAAATAATGAATCACTGTCCAAAAACAGACTCTCGAGGGGGTAGATGAGGAATAACATACACAGCGGTGATTGACACCGCGTTAGACACCTGCTCTGATTGGTTTGTTTTGACCCAGGAGCGGTGGATTCTTGCAAACAGCATTAGGGGCAGAAGGACAGAGGATCTGTCGATCAGAATCAGAAATACTTTATTGATCCCCGAGGGGAAATTCTTGTGTCACAGTTGCACACATGGCACATCAAAGCATAAAGGAATAGAAATAATAATAGAAAATTGGTAGATAAGGAAATATATAGATATTAGAGTATATATTTAAAGAAAAATAAAAGCTGCATCCATATATACAATATTTACATTATTAAGGAAGTGTTATGGTGAACAGTAGTAGTGAATAAATAGTTGCAGAATTGCAGCAGAGAATATTGCACATAAAGAATTAAACAGATAATTATTGCACAAAACAGATAATAAGGTCCAGTTTAATAACTAACTAAGGCCTGTATGTCAGACACTTAGAGGGAGGAGTGGAAGAGTTTGTGGGGGTTTGGGGAATGAGTCTTGCACTGAAAGTGCTCCTGTGTTTGAGCAGCATGTCATGGAGTGGGTAGGAGACACTGTCCAAGATGACATGTAGCTTGGACATCTTCCTCTCTGACACCACCGACAGAAAATCCAGTTCCACCCCCACAGCGTCACTGGCCTTAGATCAGTGTGATGAGCCTGTTAGCGTAAGCTACCCTCAGCCTGCTGCCAGTATGCAACAGCAAACAGGACAGCACTGGCCACCACAGACTCATAAAATAAAAATAAAACACATAAAACATCCTTAGGATCGTCCTGCAGATGTTGAAGGACCTCTGCCTCCGCAGAAAATAGAGGCAGCTTTGGCCCTTCCTGTAGAGGGCCTCATTCCTGAGTGTTCTTGGCCCAGTCCAGTTTATTTTCCACGTGCACTTCCAGGTACTTGTAATCCTCCATAATGTCCACACTGACCCCCTAAATGGAAACACCGGTCACCGGTGCCTTGGCTCTCCTTAGATCCACAACCAGCTCCTTAGTCTTTGTCATGTTGAGCTGCAGGTGGTTCTGCTCGCACCATGTGACAAAAACTTCTGAAGATGGCAGGACTCTGTGTGGTAGTTGAAGTCTGTGGTGTAGACGGTGAAGAGGAAGGGAGAAAGGACAGTCCCCTGTGGGGCCCCGGTGTTACTGACCACGCTGTCTGACACACAGTGTTGCAGGTGCACATACTGTGGTCTGCCAGTCAGGTATTCAACAATCCAGGACACGAGGGGGCATCCACCTGCATCGCTGTCAGCTTCTCACCCAGCAGGGCCGGCCGGATTGTGTTGAATGCACCGGAGAAGTAAAAAAACATGACCCTCACAGTGCTCGCCGGCTCAGCCAGGTGGGCGTAGGTGCGGTTGAGCAGGAAGATGATGGCGACCTCAACTCCCTGTCAGGGATGGAGCGGGTCCAGGTAGAAGTCTGACCAGCTCCAGGGTCTTCATAATGTGGGAGGTCAGTGCCACAGGTCTGTCGTCCTTGGAGCCACAGGGAAGTGGCGTCTTTTGCACAGGCACGAGGCAAGAAGTCTTCCGCAGCACAGGGAACCTTTGAAGAGTCAGTCGCTGGACTGATGCATAATATATAAATTCAATAAATGATGAGCTGCAACCTACAACTTGTGACTGTACTCCAACTGTACTTATCTATTCATTAGTATATATATTTTTTTTAAATTTCCACTCATTATATAACATTTTTAAAATCCCATCTTAACTGATTTCATTCTGGTTATTACTTATTGTTTAAATGTCATTCTTTGCCCCGTAATTCACTTTGAATTACCTCCGTGTGCTGTTAAATAAATAATTACCAAATAAACACAGAATCGCTGAGATAATGTCAGAAATAATAATAAACTTTAGCACCTTTCTTATATAAAATAAGCAGCCAACTGCACTTTACTACTTAATAGCTGACTTATTGCGTGCGAGACAGCGGTGGAGGAAGAATTCAGATCTTTACTTAAGTAAAAGTATTAACACCCCACTGTATAACAAATACTCTGGAACAAGTAAAAGTCCTGTATTTAAAATGTTACTTGTAGTAAAATGCCCCCTGTGCCTGTTGTACTATTATATATTTTTATCACTTTAGATTATTATTCCTTGTGTATTCATGCAAAAGCAGGATTTTACTGCTGTAGAACTATTTTCTTTTGGGCTGCACTAGTGATTATTTTCATTCTGGATCAATCTGCTGGTTGGTTGGTTTGTAAAGACACAGTTACCCAGAGGCCATCCGGACACCGTCACAAAGCTTGTTGTGTCCAAACCTCAACATTATATGAAAAGTTACTTAAACTATCGTCATTTAATTTTCTACGAATTGATTAATCGGCTATTAATTTCAGCTGTACTAAACATCGTATTTTATAAACTCTTCCTATGTTCTGAGTGTACAAATCATAACAATATTTTCCTCTGAGATGACTGGAGTGCAGGTGCCATCAAACATAAAAGCAGGCTACCTCCAATCTGTACTACTACTTCTTTAATTTGGAAGTCCAGTAAGCTACCCCTACTTGTGTAAATAGTCACAGTCAGGGGACATTGACCTAATATTTAATGTTTTTGGTTAAGTTTAGATGTTTTGATGTCAGTGATGCTCAGATTAAGCACACCGCCCAGCGCGGGCGGGCGGGGTCAGATGCTGATATTTCGTTCTCCCTCCCTCTGATTCAGTTAAAGGAAATACTGAGATTTAGGGGTTTCCAGCAGCAGGTTCTGAAGATGGATACTGTATATATACCGGGTCCGATGGAGCAGCTGGTCACAGTGAAAACTGCCCGGCTTCAGGATGGCATGGGTCAGTCTGCAAATGGTAAGCCGGAGGGAGCGCACTTTCAGTTTCATGCTTGAGTTGCTTTTTAAGGAGTTGTTTTACAATATTGTTTTTTTTTTTAATGTTAATAGATCTCCTTCGGCTTGCTGCTGATCTTCAGTGACCAGCCTTCTTCTGCTGCTGCTGCTGCTGCTGCGAGGTCCGGGTGCATCAGCGAGGACAAGTTGAATAATCGTACTGACAAGTTTCGGAGGAAACACTGGGACAATGTGGCTATTTCTAAAAACCCGGTTTTGGAGCCGGACGCGCTGGACTGCGCGCAGTTTGCCAAACAAACACACCGCGGCGAAATGAATAAACGCTCCCTGTCCCCGTGGACGTACAGGTACGTAACACAGCGTGCAGCTACGGAGACCGCAAGGGGACAAAAGCGCTCAGAAAATCACGGTGCTGTCCCTAGAGCTATCAAACCCGGACTACATTATTCCAGAGAGGCTAAAACAGTGTTTCAGATTTCTGAAAGCTTTTATTCTATTTGTGAAAATGCTAAAAGGAAGATTCATATGTTGTTTTGTTACATGCAGACCACATTAGACCAGGGTCCAGATTAAAAAAACAACAGCACTAGGCTATGCTGTCAAATCCGGACAACATTATTCCAGAGAGGATAAAGTTTCTTTAAAACACTGTTTTCCGATATGTGAAACCTTTATTCTACTTGTTAAAATTTACAAAAAGGATGATTTTTACGTTGTTTTGTTACATGCAGACCACATTAGACCAAGGTCCAAATCAAAAATCACGAAGCCTGCTGTCAAATCTGGACTAATGTGTCCCAGAGAGTATTTTTTAAACACTGAGAAACATTTTATTCTATTTGTAAATATTCACAAAAAGAAGAAAAAAATAAATAAGGATGATTTATATGTTTATGTATACTAGACCACATTAAACCAGGTCCAGATTAAAATCCACTATGCCTAGGGCTGTCAAGAGAGGCTAAAGTTTTTTAAACACAGTTTCAGATTTGTGAAACCTTTATTCTAGTTGTGAAAATACAATGGGGGTGGTGATGGAGCATAGATAAGATGCTTTGTCTTTGGTGTGGGAGACCCGGGTACGATTCCCACTGTGAGACATCCACTACTGTGTCCCTGAGCTGTCATTAGCATCTTCAGGTAATCTTGTAGACGATGGAATAGAGTTATCTATAACCCCAGACTCCAGTTGTTAAAAACGCAGTCTGGTTTTATCAGACAGAGTTTGTTTTCGAAACAGGAATCTATTTTTATCAGACGGAGAGCAGACTTAGAGAGTGAAGACCTGAGAAGCATCAGGCTTGCTGAGACATCTGGTGCGAGTCACTACTGCCCCTCTGGGTATTAGCTGGACAAAAGATCATCTCTTCTTGGTTAAATCAAACTTACTGAGACACCGGCATGACTAAATTTGATTCCTTTCAGTCTAGACTATTAGCTGGACAAAAGATCAACTCTTCCTGAGACATCTAGTGTGAGTAAAATCGACTACTGCCCCTCTGGGTATTAGCTGACCTTTAGACTCCCCACGCAGCAAAGCTCTGAGGGGGTTCGTATTTGTTTTTTTTTCTTACTTCTATAAAAACCAGAAATCCAGAGGGTACTATTCACACTACTGACCTGATACCACAGAGAGGGGACCGGAAGTAGCCGGAAGTAGCTGTCAAAATTAGTTTGATGGAATGTCACTTATATATCTCTCTAACCTGGCTCCACAGGAGAGGAGCTTGGTAGCTGAACGCTCTGGCTCCCATTCTACTTTTGGAGACTCTAGTAACCCACACAAAAGTAACAGCATCAAAATATACTTACAGTACCAAAAGTAAAAGTATATTTTATCTGCTGGGTAGGTTGATCTTATCTTATATAAACAGCAGTAAAAAGTACAATATTTCCCTGTGATATTTAGTGGAAATATAAGTATAAATCAGATGAAAATGGACATTTTTAAGTAAAGTACCTCAAAATAGTAATAATACTTGAGTGAATTTACTAAGCTGTTTTCCTCATTCCTTTCCTTCCTTTACTTACTGTAAGTAAAAGTAGTAATTATGGCTGCATTAATGATTGTTTTCATTACAGATTAATCTGCCGGCTAGTCTTTCGATTGCTCATTCATGAATTATAAGAATGAATTTTTGCACAGAACGAGTGTTGAGTAAATTGTATCTTCCTGGTGAGGGATTAAGCAAATAGTTGAGTAACAACCAGCCATTGTCTCTGAAGAATTTATTAAATTATTAAAAGAGAACAAACAGAGAAGTACTATAACACATATGCAGAGACCTGCTGCCTAGGGTAGCTTCGGGCGTCTGACCCAGAGCAAAGGGATGTATTTTATTATTTTATTTAACCTTTATTTAACCAGGTGAGTCTCATTGAGATTAAAATCTCTTTTGCAAGAGAGACCTGGCCAAGACGCAGCATATAAGAACACAAAGAACAGTTTCCAACATATAAAAAACATCAAGTACACATACATATAACACAAGCCTCTGTGTTGAATAAGTTAGAATACAACTTTATAAACAGCAACACTGACCAATGTTCACCTGCTCCATATCCTTCAGAGTTGAAACAAACTGTCTATAAGAAAATAAGGCCAGTCAGTTTCACCGAGTTCTGAAGAGGGTTCCAAGCAGAAGCTGCAGCAAACATGAAGTCTTTTTTACCTAATTCTGTTCGGACACGGGGGACCAACAAGTGTAGGACGTCCTTTGAATGTAATCCATAATGGCCGTGAGTACTTGTTAAAAACATACTCAAATAGGTAGGTGCTAGTCCAAGAAGTGCCTTACAGATGAAACACAGCTAGTGAGTGTACCTTCTTGAATAAAGAGAGGGCCATTTAGCTTTATAGTAAAGGGTACAATGATATGTCCTATAATTACAGCCAGTGAAAACACGCAATGCACAATGATACACAACATCCAATTTCTGTAGGCATTGGGCAGAAGCATTCATAAATATATATATAATTTAATATGGGAAGAAAAGTGGCCGTCACCAGGTATTTTCTAGCGTGAATGGATAAGCATGATTTTGATCTGTAGAGAAAGCCAAGCTTTGTCTTGAGCTTAGAAACCAGGTTGCTAATATGAGTTCTGAAACACAGTTTACAATCCATGATTATACCTAAATATTTAGAACTGTTAACCAACTCACTTTCATTTCCTTCAAAAGTTGAGATGCTTGAAGTATTAACTGGAAGTTGCTTTGGTCTTTTCTGCATTTAAGACCAACTTAAGCTGTTTTAAACGGTTCTGAACAATATTGAAAGCAGACTGCAAAAGATCAAGGGCTTGTGATGCAGTACAGTAAATAACAGTATCATCAGCATAAAAATGATACACAGCATTCGATAGATAATCACAAAGATTGTTTGTATAAATTGAAAACAATATGGGCCCAAGTACTGAGCTTTGAGGAATCCCCTTGGAAATGGGCAAAAAGGAAGAGAAAGAGCCAGCCATCTGAACACTTTGGGTTCTACCTGACAGATAATTTGCAAACCAATCTACTGAATGCCAATGCTCAGTTGTCTAAGTGCCAGAATGCAGTGATCAACTGTATCAAAAGCTTTTGAAAGATCTATGAACAGTGCAGCGGACATTTTCTTGCTATCCAGTGTCCCAACAATATCATTTATCACTTTCAATGCTGCAGATATGGTGCTGTGTTGTTTCCTAAAACCAGATTGAAAGGGGGATAAGACATCATTTGAATTTAAAGATTCCTTTAGCTGCTCACCAACCAAGGGTTCAAGGAGCTTGGCTAAAACACACAGTTTGGAAAAAGGCCTATAGTTGTTTAAAATAGAGGGATCGACCCCTTTTAATAGGGGTGTAACATGGGCTGACTTCCATACTTTAGGGATATCATTTTCAATAAATGTCACATTAAAGATATAAGATAGAGGCTCTGCAATAAAGTCAGCTGCTAACTTTAGAAAGAAGGGATCAAGTTTATCAGGACCAGCAGACTTTTTTGTGTTTAATTCCTGAAGAGCTCTATGGACTTTAGAAACTGATAGAGGAGAAATATAAAATTGTTTGTCAGGAGGTAAGCATGGGTTAGAGGGGTCTCTCTTCTGGCCCTGGGCAGGTGCCAGTTATGTGCAGGTTTTTATGATAAAAGATAATTAATCCAAACCTTTCACTTCAGAAAAGCCGACCAAATCAAACCACATGTAACAAACTAAGAAACAGACTCAACTAAACCAGTCTTCGCAAAACATTACATTCCCATATAAAACACATCAACAATATCAATGCAGAAATACACAATATTACAGAATATAAAACACAAATATTCTCAGGATTGTTCATCATTTCATTCAGTAAAGAGTTACCGAAGATGAAAGAAATTAGCTTATAATAAACTATTATTGGCTTCCTTCACGTTGGCCTCTCTGGTGGCCAACTTCCTGAAATGGAAATATGAAAACCCAGCGTTTTGTTTCCTGTTTTGTTTAGATATTATGTCACACCTGTGGTTTTCCCTTCCCCGGTCTGTCTGTGTCTGTGTAGGTGAGTTGTGGGCGTGGCGCCCGGTATCTGCTGATTACTTATACCTGCCTCTCAACAAGCTCATCATGTAGCAGTATAACCCCAGTTTTTTAGTCTTTCATTGCTAGATTGTTTTGTCAGCTACTGTGGTAGCTTTAATAATTTGGGATACAGTGGGGTCCTTGAGGGGGTTCCAGGGGAATAAAAATGTATTTTCACTATTATTCCATCCATAAGTAACACAATGACAGAATTCAATGCAGCAGAGTAGATTAAGTGGAAGCAGAAACCTGAGTGCAGAAGGTGAGGCTCTGTGCGTTGTGCTACTGACAGGGCAGAAAGTCAAAAGTAGTGTTTGATGACCCGTGTGTAGAAGCTGCTTCATTGTCTTTTTGTCCTCGATTTCACACTCCTGTAGCGTCTCCCTGACACTGAATGTCTGACTATTGACTGTATGACTCTAACTACATGACTGTTGTGGTCATGGGTTTTAGTCACTTTCTGTAAAGAAACACCTAAAGCCAAAAGATCGATGAGAAGGGGTTCCGTGGTCTAATTTGTGTTGTGGGTCCTTGGGCACATTTTCAAGTGGCCTTTTATTGTGGCCAGCTTAAAGCTCACCTGTGCAATACCCATGCTGTCTGATCAGCATCTTGATATGCCACACCTGTCAGGTGGGCAAAGGAGAAGTGCTCACTAACACAGATTCTGACAGATTTGTGAATAATATTTGAGAGAAATAGGCCTTTCGTGTACATAGAGAAAGTATTAGCTTTAAGCTCATGATGAATGGGGGCAAAAACAAAAGTGTTGCATTTATAATTTTGTTCAGTGCATTTTCTTAACACAATGCTGTCAACACGGCTATTTGTGAAACGGTTAAATTGTTGAATCTCAACTATTAAACTGTTTGAATATCTGTAGGCAGACTGTCCAAATAATGTGTGACCTGTAAATATATTAATATAATACTAACGTGATATAATACATACTTTGTATTTAATGTTATATTTACTAACAGTAATTTATACTAGTTTCTCCATGAGCTTGAGGATAGTATGGGGGGTTGGAAAATATTGGCACCAATTCTTTTGTACCTCAAGTACTGGAATATATGATATTAAAATAGAAAAGATTGCCCAAGCTTAATGGAAATGTGATTATAAGACTTGTAAATAATATAAATTAAAAGTTCAGTGTTTTATCATGATTTAGAGGAAATGTGCCCTGCAGCACGTATCACAGAAGATTAAATTATTATATACACAGCTTTAAGAAACAGTAGTCCAGAGCATCTTTATTGATTGGCATGGGAGTTGCTGATGTCTGTTCTGTCTGTTTCTTTTAGCCTAGACCAAGACCTGGACAGGATCCCACATGAGATCGTCGTTGCAAAGTGCCTTTGCCGAGGCTGCATCATCAACCATCGTGAAGATAATGACTACAACTCTGTGCCTGTGTATGCTTTGGTGAAGGTCCTGAAGAAGATTCAGTGCTCAGGTGAACCAAAAAAATATGCGGTGAAACATTATTATATGAAAGTCGCTGTGGCCTGCGTCTGTGTTGTGCCCAAGTACCATAAATGACCGCAACATCATCACATGCTCACATCGGTGCTGAGCTTTATTTTTTTCTCTTTATTTATCAAGTTAACCGTAACAAAAAAATCTATTTAGGGATAAATATTATTTCTGTGATCCATTACGCTGACTAGCGTGGCTCCTGGGCAAGCAGTGTCAGTCAGTCCACCACTTTGATCCCCAGAGGATGAATCCTACTGATTTTAGTGATCCATTGGCTTTTACACCAGCAGGTTGACATTTTTGCTTTTCAGTAACATTTCTAAACAACTGCTGGATGTATTGCCATGGAATTTGGTTCAAACATTTATATTCCCCTCAGGGTGAATTGCAATTACTTTGGTGATCTGCAGACTTTTCATCTAGCACCATCATCAGGTCAAAATTTTAATTTTACTTTGGTTTATGATCAAATTCCTGATCATCCTCAGCTATACTTTGTGTTTAGTGCTAATTCACATGTGTCAGCATGCTAACAGGCTAAACTAAAATTGTAAACTAGGCAAACTTTATTAAGAGCCTCCCTCCCCTTCCGGGAAAATATATTTATGGTAGTCAACGGTGAGAAACCACTAATTTTTTGATCCTATTTGAAATGTACCCTGAATTACACATTTCACAAGCAAGGACCACGATCAACAGGTATGATTAAATGATTTATTGAGTAACAAACAGAAGATGTATGAAGCTTGCAGTAGCTGAATAGACATTAGAAAGCGTTGTGGGGAAGCTACGATAGGGAAATCCGCCGTAACACCCGGGCACAACAGACCCCAATAAATATGGAGAGGAGGAAGGAGATCAGGAGGCAGGACAGAGAAAGGGGTGGGAGGGAGGGATGCAGGATACGAGGGCGAAGGGGAGGGAGGAAGGGATGCAGGATACGAGGGCGAAGGGGAGGGAGGAAGGGATGCAGGATATGTGGGCGAAGGGGAGGACTTAGGACGTGTGGGTATTTATGGAAATGCTAGCGATGACGCGCTTGATGTGTGGTCCCACTCCTGAAACTCTGCTAATTAGCACCAATTTAAAATATAATTACACATAAAACTCTTGAAGCACAAGACTGTGAAAATACAAAGACCACAAACCCAAAAGTTGAATATGTGAGGTCATAACGTTTTCTCTCAATGACTGAAGCTAACATCGCTGAAGCTAACGTCAAAGAATGAGTTGTTCGATTAAACACATCAGGTGAGAAACATTTATGCATGGAACATAGCTAAGTTACTTAGCAAGAAGCAACCAAGCAATAAGCATTAGCTTAGCATAACAGCATAAGCATGATGCCAGCATATATTGTGCAAGATAAAAGATGTAGTTCAATTAATGGTTTCACACAAAACTAAATGTTATCTCTCATTGACTACTGTACATATTTTGTCTAAAATAAGGAGGCGGAAAGAAGGGACTTGGGCTCTCAATACCTGCTAAAGATTACCATGTTTGCATTGTCACTATTAACTTTATTAAAACCATGATGGGTTTAACCTCTAATATCTAATTTTGTAATAGATACTAACAGAATATGCATAGTAAGAAGTACACTCAAGCAATACCCTTCTCTGCATTATATGACTGTATTGATCACAGCAGTAATGCTAGTTTTAAGTTTTTTACTAAGATAAACCAAAAGCTTTTATACAACAGCAACAAAATGGTCTTCACTACACTATATTATAGTATATATATTATATATTAAGAGTAGCAGTTTGCACTTGCCAATCAATGTGAAATATCACAAAAGCTAAGTATCATTATATGTTCATTTTATGCCACAACGGCTATCAGCTAGAAGTGAATAGGTAAAAGAATAGTTCCACTTTTCCCATTTTGGGAAATGCTGTTATTTGCTTTCATGTCGAGAGTTAGATAAGAAGATTGATACCACTCTCGTGTCTGTATGCTAAAAATTATGCTAATGCAGGCAGTCAGCTAGCTTAGTTTAGCATAAAAAGGGGGAAACAGCCTGGCTCTTTCTAAAGGTAACTTACTTGCTTTCAGAATCCTACTTTAAAAAAGAAAATATACAGTATGATGACAATATTAGATTGCTAATACTGATGCATCAATGTGTAAGAAGAACTTGTCACAATCTGAAGGGTCGTGAGATGATTAATTGGGAAAGGAAAGAAGAAAAAAACTAAACTCTGATACACATTGGATTTTTCTAATGTTTGAATTTTGTGTGAAATATTGGATCATTTTAAAACAATTACTCAAATAAAACCATGTGCAAAGTTTAGAAGGGAAATATGCTGCTAACCACTCATAGAAATCTGAAATGTTATTTATAATATATTTTACATGCAAAATATTTTTTGAAAATTAACCAGGTGTAACCGATAAATTTATATTTCTTTCTGATATGTAGTGGAGTAGAAGTATAAAGTAGCATAAAATGGAAATTTCCACTCTCCATGCTAATCTAAGTTAAGCTCCCCCGGCTGTTCAAATTTAACTGATGAACACAGTGTTATTGATCTTCTCATCTTACTCTTGGCAAGTGAATAAGCATATTTCTCAAAATGTCAAACTATTCCCTTTAAAATGGGACAGTATTAGGCACATGCACATTATGCACAAGCTATATACAGGTTAAATTAATCTTTAAAACACACTGACCCAACACTGTAAAGCATCAAACTTCTCATTGAGTATTTGTTAAAGTTATGTTATGTGCATGTGAAGTAAGCTAAATGTGAAGATTCCTACAGTGTTTTTTTTTGTTTTCAATATACATATTTTATATTTTTTTATTTATATTGTATTTTTAATCGTGATCAAAGGTAATGCAGATTTGATCACTGTGAGGGGGGCATTGAATTAAGCTGTGTGTGCTTAAAAACTCATTTGGCAGACCCTGAATGTTGATCTTTACTGGATAAATGGTGCTAGTTTAGATTAATTATTAGATTGCACTGTATCACCGGGCATTTGTGATGTATTGATGGAGCATTTTTATTTTGTAAGTCTGGTTTCGGAGGCGTAAACTCTGCAGGGATAAAGCCACTAACATCAGACAAATGAATGTTAAGTGCCTCTCAGATTTGTCATGATGCCCCTTCACTGTTCACATGAAGAAGTTGAATTTAGACTTATTATTTTGTCCTGTGTAAATTGTGAAAGCATGAACAATAGACTCCTATGTTGCTGCTCGTCTCATCTGAAACATTTGTTCAACCCTGTCCATGTTCTATTTCATTTTTAACTACGCACTTTTTTAAACACTATTTACCAAAAATAAAAGTGTTTCTTTGAGTCATTTGTCCTGTTATGTCTTTTGTACTGTATCTGTATTTCTCTATACCTGCATCTAAAATGTAGCGACGCAGCTGCATTAAATTCTGTGCCATGTAAAACCACAATCAGAAATTAATGTGATCCATAAATTTAAACCGCATATACATACTTATTTTATAAGACAGATAGAAAATCTCCCAAAAATGTATAATATGTCAATTTAGTATTTTATTATTCTTTGTCTTGGAGGAGAATCCTGCTCTAACTTCAGTGAGCTTTTAGCGGTGGGTTCAAATTTATGCATCATTTCTTTTACCCTATCTTTGTTCACAGTTTGGCAAGTTGGCACCATTAAAAGTGTGCCGAATTAGCTATCAGCACTTCCGTTTTGCACGGTGCCCATGGATGTACAGACATCTATACTCTGATACTGAAGAAAACCTGAAGACATGGTGATTCTCAGGTTCTGCAGCCTGTTTGTTTGTCTGTTTGATTTCTGAGGTGTCACTTTGGGCTCTGGGTGATTGTGACGGCATTTCTCACTATCATTACAAACCAAACAATCAATCAATTGAATTATAGAAAAAATAATCAGCAGGTTAATCCATAATGAAATTAATTATTAGTTGCAGTCTGTTACATATTGGTTGAAAATGTGCTGCAACAGCAATAAAATCCTGTTTTTACGTGAATGCATGAGCAATATTAATGTAATAACATGTCACAGGGGACAGTTTACTGCTTTGAGTACTTCTAACAGAGTTTTTTTTACAGTGTGGTATTAGCATTTTTACTAAAGTAAAGGACCTAAATACTTGCTCCACCACTGAGTGTGACTTGAATCCAATGTGGGACAGTACTAAAGTCTACCTGTACCTGGATTTCACAGGAGTACTTTCTTTTCATGCCCTTTTTTACTTCTACTCCACCACATCTCAGAGGGAAATGTACTTTTTTCGTCACTACATTTATCTGACAGCTTTAGTAACGAGTTATGTACAAATTAGGATTTTTACACACAAAACATATTGGGCCCTATCTTGCACCTGACGCAAAGCAGCTCAAACAAGTGTGTCACTTTGTGTTGAAAAGTGGTGGGAGCACTTGGATCAGGAGAAGTTGACAACGCATGATTTTTAACACTATTTTTAAGAGACAGGAAATGTTGAAATATATGAGCTGGGGATTCCCCTCCCCCATAAAATGGGAGCATTAAACACTTAATGACTTAATGTCCTGCATTCTGGAGACAATTTATGGTGGAAATGTCCCCATTTATATCTGGCAAATGACAATTCATCAATATAAAAATAGAACATGTGGGAGTAACATAATGTAGTAATCAGCTGCTTGGGGTTTTTTTAGCTTAAGTTACTTTTTTTGGACAATACACACTTGTTTCTTCTTCTTCTTCTTCTTTAAGTTGGATTGCATGCTTACTTATTGTCCAAGTAAACTTTCCTCAAAGCATTTACATTTGTTAGTTATCTTTTTGGTGCAAACTATTTTCAGAACATTTTTAACAAATGCTTTCAAAAAGTGGTGGGGAAAAATCAGCGATTTTAAAAGTGGTGGGGACATTTCCCCAGCGTCCCCAGTGTATATGACACCTGTGGGCGCAAAGTGCAGCTCAAGTGTCATTGCTAGTTTCCAACCGACGCAGGTGTCATTTTCACGCCCAGCGCGCACGTTATTTAAATAGCATATGTATTGGCGCCCATCTGTGAGGCCATGGTTGGTCTTAAAATGAGGTGTGGTCAGGCATATTGTTGGGACAGCAGAAAGCGATTGCACTTGACCAAAAAAAAAAAAAAACTGGTATAAAATCAACGGCGCGTGATTTCACAGTTTTTATTTTATTTTAGGGGCGCATTACTCCGATGGTAATAAAAGACACTGTGCGTATTTACGCAGGAGGCACAGCAGCCTAACTTCATTGTAAATGCATCTAATGTTAATTCTGTGTTGTTCTTCACATCCAAAGGTCTCACACACAGTCCAGGTTCACACAGTGAAACTAGAGAAAAGCAGTCGTCCTCATGATCAATCCTGAGCTCCATCAGAGCGACTAAATTATTTCAGAATCTAAAAGTTCGATTCTGTTTCCTATAGAGAGTTTCCTCTGTCATGACATGTCACGTTTATAACTACAGATTTTTTTGTTTTGCTGCTTTAATAATAATAATAATAATAATAATAATAAATAATAATAATTAAAGCTGCAAGCAGCGTTGGGCGGGCCCTCGCACTTGTAAGCGCGTCCGCGCGTGAGCCGGCCGAGTTGCACATTCTGGAGTTCTGCCGGTGCGGCTGTGAATTTCCTACGCGTTTCCGACGCCGCATGAATGTGCTATGTGTCACTTCCTGTGTCCCCTATGTGGAGCTACATAGCACTTGCCGCTATGAATATAAATCGGTATTGACGTGTAGATGTCTGCGGGGTGGGAGAGTTATCAAGCACGTAAAGTTTGTTTCAGATGTGAACATGTACACTGAACAATAATGTACCCAAACAATAAAATAAATTCCTTTTTATTTCCCTGCCTTGTTGTTTATGTGTACATACA